GCAAGTGTCGCTTGTTGTCAACAGCTAAAATTAGAGGAAGTGGGAAGATCTGTAAACATAACAGTGGTGTGTGATGGACGCAAAAAATTTTCCTTGCTAATTTCTTTCTGTAGATGAAAAATGTGGTGAGCATTGGTCTGTAACACCAACTGCCATCTGTTGTTACAATTGTAATGCATCATGTTATGCACCTGTAATAGTAATGTATGATTGTAATGTCCTATTGAAGGCTCAGATTTGTAGTACATTTGTAATATTTTGCCCTAGAATTTTGATAAACAGAAGTAAGAAATGTAGACCACCAATTTGACATGGAATGTCTTACTTGGATTCTTAGACAAAACTGATACGATGTTTTAACCCAAGAGAGTTACCCATTTCTAGACCGTAGGGTTCGGTTACCTGCTTGTTGACATGAATTCCTACTTAATGTTCAGAGGTTATCTACAGAAATCTGTACTGACTCGCCTTTAAACAACCTTAAAGTCTATGTATGACTGTCACAGCGGTAGCACACATGGCATGAATCTTAGATATGTAGGAGTGATAAATCATGTGTCAATCCAGTATCCGCAGTTGTTAAAAAAAGAGATCTACATGTACAATAAATTTATTGCAGCAGAGATTGATTGTAAGGGTATGTTTCTAGAACTATATGTAGTTGTGTCAGTCTCAATTTGGCAGTGTGCAGTTGAGACATGGAATATCTTAGTAAACCAAGAGACTTTTAGACAGAACTTCATGCCCGTAGCCAGGGGGGGGGGGTTCGGGGGGGTTTGCATGTACCCCCCACAAGGCTCAAAGGTCCACTTTTTGGTCCACTTTTTATCTAAAGGTCCAAGATTTTTCTTTAAAAGATGGACTGATTCATGTCACCAGTGAGGCTGGAATCGTAGGACAACTGCTCACTTTGTCACGGTTATCTCTGATTTTTTTTTCTTTGAAATCCTCTAAAAAAATGCAGGAAATGCCATTTCAGAAGGTTCATTTTTCAAAATTTCCCGGGGGAGCATGCCCCCGGAACCCCTAGGCACCTCGTGCCTTCCGCACTCGCTTGTCCCTCAAGCAGTGGGACGAACTCCCCCATTCAAAATCCTGGCTATGGGCGTGAACTTATCAGATAAAAATATAAAGATATCATGTTTGCTGCACAGGATACATGTAGTTTTAAGGGAATGTTACCAGAACTAGTTATGTCAGTTACACTTTTAGCAGTATGTAGTTGAAGACTGAAAAGCATTTGTCCTAGTCAGCACGCAAAGGTTTCCATTTCATGTGGTCCTTTAAAACAGGATATAATTTTACCTGACACTTTGGGTCATTCATACACATACATTATTAATTGTTTCCATTTTTGCATGCAGTGTTTATTATCGTGCAGGATTTCTTCAGCTGTGAAATATTAAAAATAATGTAATATCTCTGCACAATACCGGTTTAAGTCCACCTTTCAAAGAATATGAAAAATGGCTTCATGTTAAAGAAAGATAAATATTTTCAGTAATGTCATGGGCAATTAAGAAATAAAACAGTTTGACCCAATTGTATAGGAGGGAGGTTTAAAAAAACATCTGTGGATTGATAGGTCCCCTGAGACTGTTCCTCCTCCAATCACGAAAGAATTCCATTGGTCCTGAAATATTTCGCAGCCGAGCCCTCAGGCTTTCAAAACATTCCGTATGGCAACTGGGCCTGCCAGGCAGGTCTACAACTACAAAATCACTGGAGAAGTGCAGGTAAGAATTTAGGAATGTCCGCACTCCTTCTTGTTTTGAGTTCTATTCCGTTTCGATTGCACGATTAGTACGAAATCTTGTAGAGGATTGTTTTGTTTTTCGATCACCTTTTCTGTAAATAATAACCACAGAGCAAATTGGCCTCTTCAGATGTAATTAGCTTCATTTTACTTCAGAGTGATTACAGAGGTTTGAATAGAAATAAAGGGTCAGGACTCTTCTTAGTACGATAATTGTAGAGTATGGTTTTTATAGCATCCGTTCTGTAGTTATGGTACATTGTGCTAAGTAAGAGTTGAGATGTTTTTTTTACGAAGGGAAATTTGTTGTCTGTCAGCCCACCTGTGCTACTGTTGTTACCTCTGTTGCCACAATCCTGTTGGGTGTGTCCAGTGGAATTTAAACATCGTGCTAGGTAATCCGCCCAATGAAGTCTTAGAGCTGGGTCAAGGTGGTGTATCATACGTCAATTGAACACAACTCAAAGTCAACAAGACAATGTTGCAGTGATAATATTTGGAAAATTTGTTGGAGCACTAAAAAGCCCCATTGAGGAAGCGAATACGGATATTTTACAGTATATTTAGTACATTTCCTGGCCATAAACGGTTAATCCTTGTGTTTAGGATAATTGGAGAGATAATACGTAGACTGCAGGAGATGGTGTGGTGATTGTGCTAACTACGTGGACAAAGACGTCATTGTGTCGTACAGGAGGGCAGGGCACAGCGCCATCGAAGGACACTTCACAACGGACACACCCACCTTCTTCTGGCAGATACCATTCACCCGCAGGGGTGGCACTGATGCGTGCATTCTCCCAGACAAATATGAACTATTACAAGCCCACATTAGTTTATCACTTGAATTCTTTATCTTTATAAAGCATTAGTTTTGAAACTGAGTTAGAGTGGCGGCTTGAGTTAAAGAGGGTTACCGTAGCAGATTTTTTAAATGGTCGCCATGTTGTCTGTGCGTGGCCACCTGCCCTTGTGGCAGAATGACTAAGACATGTCGGACCAGTTTCACGTACCAGTACTATAGAGGGCGTACGTGCGGTATTTCACAGACTACAGAAGGCACACAGCCAGCACAATAACCTCATATACCCCTCAGAGATCTGTGGTGAGTCCAAACCTAGAACATTCTTGTACTGTTCATAGTCAAGGTCGTTGCAATGTCATTACAAGGTTATGAGCTCAAGCAAGATAGCTTTCTCCTCTTTCTGTCTCCCAAGTGAGTTTGACATTCTTTGCATTGTGTCTTGTTTGCTAAAAATGAAGACATTCACACAGTTGGCATTCCAGACTTTGTGAATAAGACATTTTTGACATACCCATGGTATGTATAGCCCGTAGCACCCTTGTTGATACCTGAGGTACATGTTGAAAACTGTTCCAGTGAGAATTCCTTGCTTGGGTTTGAATTGTCTTCTAGCCCTGGGGCAGCAGTTTGTTTACGGAGGTTACAGTAGTCTTCACATTCCTTTGTAGAGTCGGTAGCTTGTCACATCTTGTTACTTGAAAGTTAACAGCTGCATCGAGAGAACTTGTATAATCCTTGCTAGAAACTCTTTAGGATATAAGGATAAAAGAAAGAAAGAAAGAAGAAAGAATACCTAGGACATACATAGATACTTGAGATACTTTAGTCTATCTCAGACCTTGTCATCAATGGATACAGTTTCACCACTTGTACATTTAAGCTGTTATGGGTCAGTGGATTCTTGTGATGTTTTCAAGCCTAAAGCTTTAGGCTATGGCAACAATGTATGGCCTACAGACAGTGCCTATATATGACCTTGCAATGCAACTGATACACTTTATCTGGTCTATAAGAAAGTCCGGCAATTTAAGAGCCACCTAGCAGAAAAGATATTGTTTTATTACTTGACAACTTATTTTTGGAGAACCGTTCCTTGCAACAAACCATAGCATGTTCCCATAATTCTTGTTAACTATAAAGATGCGCATGAAATATTAATTTGCACAGCTCAGGTAGTGTGCATATAACAATGCTTTATTTGTTTTGTGAAACTGTCAGTATGTGCTAGTGCACTTGCTGTGTTGATATTGATAAATTCATCATTCAGATTTTGACAATGTTGCCTTGTTTACAAAGATGTCATTATGCACTACAAGAAATTGCAGAGCTACTTCCTTTTTATGTCAGAAAAATTATGACGTCACGCAACGTTGTTTACATGTAATCTTTGCCGTTCAAAGACTAGCAGTGTCCCCTTTTTCTAGAATAACTAAATTGCCTTGACCAAAAGACTTCATTACAATGCATGGTATAGCCTTGTTCTTAAAGTATAGCATGCTAGAGCAAATTTCCTTCTTGTAATCATAACCTTAAAGTGAACTCAATTTCATGCATGGAGAGAAGTAGACATTATGACAAGCCATCAGTTTTCCACCATACAAGCTTCCTGTCATTTCCAATATCCTTTAATTGAATGGCTACAATGAAGTTATGATAGGCTTGCATGCAATGAAGTGGTCCCAGAGGGAATGGCGTAAACCCAATTTGGAGCGCCGTTTTATTTTGTGATAACATATATCAACATTACGTCATTGTTATCTCGAAGTGCTATCTTTCAGTTCATCTTTTGGTCTTCAATTTACTGCCATAAAAATTCCATCAGATTCTTCACAGACCATTAGATAAGAAACCTTATATAAATGAGTTATGATTAGCAAGTGTAATCATATAACTTCAGTCACCTGCTTGTTGAAAGAGTCTCTTACTAGCTTCTGAAATGTTGCTAAAAAATTTAGCTCTACCATTATAGCTTCATTTTCAGAAAGGCTTACAATTACAGAACACCTTTCAATCATATTTAGAAAACTGAAGCCATCAGTATGAATTACATTTTTCTCTGAAAATCTGTCATCTACAGTACAGTATATTTTATGTCAAAAAGTCGTAAAGAAATATTGTCAAAAAGTTATGTATAATATTACTAAATCCTGATGAGTGTTAATTGAATTCGCTTAATAACTACCAGTTGTAACAGTGGGGGGTTTATAGGCACTACCAACTGACCCAGCCAAGGGGTCTAGACCTTTTAGCTGAGTGGTTAGAGCGTCGGCATGTGGACTGGTGCCATTTCTTCTTCTTGTAGGACAATGGCACGCACAGTGCCCGTATATTAATTTTGCAGAATTAAGCTGCAGAATTAACATTTTCCAGTATCTTGAGGGTTATTCAAAAATTGAGTGTCTAACATTCCCCTAATTTTTTGTTTTTTCTTCTCCCCAGTTGATCTTTGCAGGTGAATACACCAGAGACATGAGTAAGCAACAGTGGCACGCTACGCACTTCAACTGCTTCAACTGTAACAACAGTCTGACTGGCCATCGCTACGTCAACCGTGACACCAACCACTACTGTTTGAAATGTTACGAGAAGCTGTTCGCCTTCCCCTGCGAGCACTGTGGCCAGAAGATCGGGACTGATGTGAAGGTATGGCCATAGACAAACTTAAGTTATAACTCTGTCTGAACTCATGCACTTTTTAGCCCACAGCAATTTAATTTGTTGCTTCTCGGATTCGCCCTGTCCATTTTTTTTCTGATTCACAAAAAAAAAAGGATTTCAGGTTCTGAATCAACTGCTAGATGCTCAATGAAAGACATATTTTGACCCCTACAGTTGAAGAAAATCCCTTTTTCGATGTAACAATGCAACTCTGTGTCATTTTAAGTTCAAAATCTATTGTTTTGATTATAAACCTGTCTGGTATGTTGACTCCATGGCTCATATCATAACATTTCCGGCCATCAGGGGGTGCCTATTTTTTCGCCCTGTCGCTTCATATTTTTTCGGAAAAAAAACGAGAAGCAACAAATTAAATTGGTGTGGCATTACCTTCACTCATACATGTACCTACCCAAAGTCTACCTTATAAGGGCACACCGAAGTTTAATTTGTTGGTTTCTGGTTCACTCTCTTCATTTTTATTCTGATTTGCAAAAAAAATGATTCAGGTTCTGAATCAACTTCAAAAAGCTCATATTTAGGCCCAAACAGTTGAAGAAAGTTCCTTTTCTAGTAGTTGTTACAGTTTTTCCATCTAATCAATGCAGTGGTTTGATTAAAAGTTCAAATTCATTGTAGTATGAATCTCAAATCAGCCTGCAGCTGGTATGTTGACTTCATGGCTCCTATCATACGTGTAGCTTTTGGGGCTATCAGAGGTCTGACTTAATCTTTTCTTTTCACTCTGTCACTTCATAATTTTTCTGAAAAATATCCGAGAACCAACAAATCAAATTGGTGTGGCCTAACATCCTGATGCATGAGGTATATTTGTCCAAACAGGCGTCAACAAAATCGCCAACATCCTAACCAAATACGGAAGTCTCCACCACTACATATCTTTAAAAATCTACACAGTCTTTGTATGAACATGGGTCTGAGCAAATAGAGGAAAGCTTTCAGCTACCCCCAACTGTTCCTATTAAGCTGTGTATGGTGTAGGTGGTGAGTTTAAAGGTGTGTAAGCATGTGGAATTTTGAGACACACCCAGGTAACTTACAGTGCAAGTCCACAGCATGTATTGGTTGAGTAAACACCTCACTTGTAAACGCACACTGGTGTGCCTTGGTAATGGAGCAGCCGTTTAAGGACATTAAGTATAAGATGTGAAATCTAAGAGGAGCTAAACCGGATAGTGGGAGAGTGGGAGCTAGCCTGTGAGATCTGTATCGCACAAGCATGTCTGGAGGCTGCAGCACATGTTTCCTGTCAGAAAAAATCAGAGCTGACAGCCGGGGGCACCACATCCAGATCTCCCTACCATTAGCCCAATCAGAGAGTGTCATTGTAGTCAACATGTATCCAATGCTATTTCAGGGCCGTAAAAGAACAAAACATTCTGGATGGTGAAATCTGTCTGATATTGAGATTTTCTCCCATTCCTTTGAACATTTTTGTCATCTTTCCATACTTGAAGCATTTGAAACAACCCAAAAACAAGCTACACGAGGAGTCCCTTCATTTTTGGGTACCACCCATAAATACATTGTAGCTAGAAGCAGCGTAAAAAAAAGCAACCATTTTCTGTTGGTGATATCACATTTTTACCTCAACTTACTGCACGCATGAAAAGAAATGTCAAACAGAAAATTGACTTAGAAGATCCAGTTTTGCTGCCTTGAAATTGCATCGGATGACCTTTAAGAATACATCGCACATCTAATGGACAGCAGCTTGCCATCTTTATACAAGTCATGCAACATTACCCACAGTACTACTGTAGTTCATTTCATAACAATGATCAAGTAAGCGTATATTTACAGCAGCATTCGTCCATCCAATCCCTTCTTTCCTGCCATTCATTCCTTCTGTCTATCCATTCATCTGTTTTGTCCCTCCTTTCCATGCTGCGCTCTATCCCTGGAACTGAACACTCAGGTCAGCAGAGGTAGACTTATCATGAAGGTAAACTACATGTAATTAGAAATTCCAGAAAAGTCTCAACAATCAACACTGCACAGCCTAGAATTACGGACTGAAGCCCAGGAATTCCAGCTCACTTAACACATTTTGAAGGTCCTTAACAGTCATTATGTGTATTCGTACAGGAAAGAGCAAGGGGAGACCTTGCACATACAACATATATGAAGCTTCATGAACTTGAGCTGTTTGAATAATCTTGACCCTTGCATGTAAAAATAAACATATTTAGCCAGCAGACTGTGAGATTACGTCTGGCATGTTTACAGCCTAGCACACAGTTAGCCATGGATTAAATACAGCTGCTTGGTACATGTGAGATCAGAAGTGGAATAAACTTTCGCCTGCCAAAAGTTGAGTCAAACAAGGACAAGTTAGACCAGTGTGCAGCTCTGTAAAGCCTTTAGACCTTGACTTAACTCAACAGACATGGCTTCCAAACAATCTGTACTTGCTGTAGCATTGCAGTTGGTAAAGGAAAATTGCTAATCACATTAGAAAAAGAAAGAAGCTTCAAGGCTGTTTTCCATGGTTTCTTTTAAAACAGTCTGTTATTTTTGTTAACAGCAACCATAGTTTTCCCCTCTTGTAACAAACTTGTAGTAAATTCTTTTTACATTTTCATTGCAAGTGTTTTCATAACTAACTTCAAGAAGTCTTGGTGCTTGGACGTGGTAGCCATTAACAGTAAATTTACCAGTAGTTGCTCTGATGGGAACCATTTGCTGATATGTTGAGCATGAAATTGACTACCGGATATTATATTGATGCATAGGACAAGTGACTAAACTTATCAATCCATGAAATTGGATCCATCCAACCATTGACACTGCCACTTGTCAAATCTGAATTAAGTTTTACAAGTCTGAAAATACAGCCTGTAAGTTTTGGACAGAAGATGTGTATTCTTTAAGTTGAAAGAGAAAGAGAGAAAAAACAACTCAGGGTCCTTTCTATGTCAAACTTTTTATAAGAAACAGGAGATGTGCTTTCATTGACAATTTCATAGTTAAACCAAAATTAGGCCCACCATTAATTTGATAATGGTTGTTGTTGCCTTGATAAATTACGGATTATGATAACAGTTGTTGTTTTTATTTCACAAGGTTGTACTGTATAATTTATTATACATGTAATATTAACTTTGTATTGTGCAGCATACTTCACACCGATTGACACAACAAAAAAGTATACTAGGGACTTTTGTATGGTCTTCTACAACTAAAGATCTAACAAAGCTAAACATGTGTGGCACATACAGCTCATACATTGTACTTGAATACAGAAAGGCTAATTTGTAGTTCTAACCCAATAACTTTTCACAAAATAAAAGTTTTTTTCCCAAGTGGTATGATGTTAACCGTCTTGTTTTTTGGTCTATTTTTCCCCAGGATCTGTCCTTCAACAATAAGCACTGGCATGAGCAGTGCTTCAACTGCTCCAAGTGTAAGAAGTCTCTGGTGGACCAACAGTTCACCCAGAAGAGTGACAAGATCTACTGTGCCCAGTGCCACAAGGAGACCTTCCTGGGCAAGTGTGATGGCTGCAACCAGCACTTTGACCCTGGTATGAAATTTTAGAATTGTAAACTTTAAGGCTGCATTTTCATTTTGTAGTTGATGGATTCAAATTGGGCTAATAATTACTTTCAAAAGCTATACATTCAAAAAGCTAATACATTCAAAAGTTACATATACATGTACATTCAAAAGCTACTTTGTATACATTCAAAAGCTATACATTCAAAAGATGTACATTCAAAAGCTACATTCAATTTGTATGTGTCATTCAAAAGCTACATTGTATACATTCAAAAGCTTACTATACATTCAAAACCTTATAGTATACATTCAAAACCTATTAAATTATATATACATTCAAAACCTGTACATTTAAAATCCATACAATCCCATCATTCAAACCTTTACATTGAAAACCTACACTTTTAAAACCTATTCATTCGAAACCAATCTCTGCAGCATGCTTTAGCACTCCGCATTTGAGAGTATGGGAGTTAAACACACACCGCTACCAGCGGACTAGCCTCCTGCTGTATATAGTGATTGCTCAATTGTGTGGCCCAAGGGCTACGAAACGGAGATGGGCACCGCCATATGCGACCATGCTGATGGTTGTGGGAGGGCTTTAACCTAGTATACAAATAGAATGACATCTAGGCTAGGAAGACCCTACCACAGGTATAAAACATGTAATTCAGCTTTGTTAGATCTTTAGTTGTAGAAGACCATACAAAAGTCCCTGTACTTTTTTATTGTCTCATTCGTCAATAAAGAATCCTATATATATCTTCAGGTGACAAGAAGATGGAGTACCAGGGTAAGAACTGGCACGAGAAGTGCTTCACCTGTAAGGAGTGCAAGAAGCCTGTCGGCACCAAGAGCTTCATCGCCAAGGATGATAAGGTCATCTGCCAGCCCTGCTACGAGGACAAGTACGCCAAGAAGTGCGAGAAGTGCAGGAAGGTGGGTGTCGTAATTTTTTTATCCACTATCCACACATCACATAGCCTGGGTGACATCCTACGTAGTTTTCGCCGGCTCCCTATTGCTGCTGGCTTAAAATCACAGCAAGTGAAAATTACGGAGGATGGCACCAAGGCTATATATATCACACTGCTTAATAATTTCTTCACAAATTTTAAATGTTAATTTGGATGCCTCATACATGTCATCAGATACAGCTACTACATTTTGTACGATGTACAATTTGAAAAGCATCAAAAGTACCAAAAGATTATTAAATGTGTGGGTTTCAACTGAGCACTACAAAGAAAGCACACACAGATATACTGGCTCTACTTCTTTGTTGTAAATTCACTGTAACAGTCGTAACATCATGTAACATTCACAAGAAAACAGTTGCTCAAGCAACTGGGTAGATTTCAAAATCAAAACGTTTGCTACACCACTGCTACAAAAAGACCATAGGACTCATAAGTTATATGGTTCAGTACCTGGATGTCTAACCTTCATCGACATATCTTAATTGTTAATACTGGTTTCAGGATCTAATGTTAATGTATTGTCTTTTAATCTTTGTTAATGTATTGTCTTTTAATCTTTAATCCCAGGTGATCTCGATGGGTGGTATCACCTACAAGGACACCCCATGGCACAAGGAGTGCTTCGTCTGCACCCACTGCAAGAAGCCCATGTCTGGGGAGCGCTTCACCTCCAAGGACAACAACCCCTACTGCATCAACTGCTACGGGGACCTCTTTGCCAAGAAGTGTGCCAAGTGCACCAAGCCTATCACCGGTGGGTAGTTTTAGGGCCTCGTGTTAAGATGAAATACCCAGGCAACCTGTACAAAAAAGGATGGCAAGGAGTTGACAGAAAAGTGTGTAACCAAAGTTTATCTGAGCAACTTAACATGTACAATGTAGAATTGTTTCACATGAAGCATACAAGAGCTTCATTTCTAAACTTTCAAAGTTTCATTTCATTTTCTTAACTAACCTTCTGCAACTAAAATTATTGTACTGACTGAATTTCACAGTTAACATATTTAATTAAATTTAAACCAATAGAACCTGGTGTAAAAACAATGGCAGTAATTACATTGGCCAAAGATGACAAAAAAGTCAATGTGTGACATGCCAGGGTGATTTTTCAAATAATTTATTTCATTTTGTCATTCTCTTCCTTACCATCCTTTGAGGTTTGATCATTTTAAAACACAAGATGAGTTCCCATGTTGATCATGATAAGTTTAAACCTTCTCACATTCTCTGCTCTACATTAAGTATCTTTAGTACATGTTCTGACTCCATGCCCTATGTTTTATACCCTGTGTTACCACATGTAGAAGCGACAGAAAGTCTTGAGGAACCCTCGGGTGGTAACGGTGAGGTGTTAAACACTCGCCTCTCTAACGCCTCCTTCACAAAGCAGTGCAGTGTGTTACCCTCCCTTAGACCCAATTTACATGTGGGCCAAAACCTGGTGGTTCAAAAACTGAGTGTACAAAATCTGCCTATGTCGAATGTGTCCTGAAAATTTGCCTGCTTTTACGTATGTCAAAAACATACGTTCAGATCAAGCCCTTGGGTAGCCTGGGTGCTATTCTCTATAATAGTTATCACTGGCTCCCTATTGTCACTGTATGGAGGATGGCACCCAGGCCAGCCCTCAATGCAGCATACAATGTGACAGCACATTATTGACATATGTCGAAGCAGATCGATTTGACGCACATAGATTTCGTACGCGTGCATAGGCAGTTTTTGTACCATCACGTTTTTGCCTGCTTCTAAATTGGGTTATAATTATGGCCTAGTAAAATGGGTTAAAACCATCCTTGGACACTCACAATTCACTGGGCAACTTTTAAAGCTCAGTTGCTTCACAGTCTGACTGTTTGAAAGCATAAATCTAAAGTCTAAAAGGCTTAAAAATAAATTTGTGCCTTTAATGCATTACTACAAAAGCACAGCAACTTTTGGACCCTCATTAACTGACAGTTGGTTTCTTTGTTTGCTGTTGTCATTTCATTATCATTAGTTCTATTATTATATCAACCTTAAATTCATCTCTTCTTTTTCTTTTGTAGGTCTTGGTGGCACCAAGTTCATCACCTTTGAGAACTCCAACTGGCACAGCGACTGCTTCAACTGCACCGGCTGCAAGACTTCGCTGGTCGGCAAGGGGTTCACCAACGAGGGTGGACGCATCCTCTGTCCTGACTGCACCAATCAGGAGGCCCAGGTCAAGGGGCATTAGACGGCGCTACGACGCCGTGCGAACGGTCTCACAACATTAGTACGATCACCCAAGATCTAACTAACACATATCATCTGGGTGTTGTGAGACTGTGTACTCCTGCATAGTTGACTCCAAAACTTGGCTTTGCAGAGGAATACTGTAGATTGAAATGAAACTTGAAGATTCAAAACTGGAGAGTGATAAAAAAAGCTGTTTGGTTTTACATGTAATGCAAGTGCATGATGAAGACGGGAATAGTTTAACCGGATGTGTTAACGTTATTTCTTCAACCAATCATAATGAGCATTTTATTTGATTAGGTTAATCTGTTTGGAAACCTTTGAAAGAATAATATTGATAGACCATTGTCAATTGGTTCCACATATTATATTACTATGACATGTCTGTGTCAGTTCAAAAATTGCTGAATACATCGTAGAACACAAACTTAGTTTCACAAAGCAAGTGACAAATCATATGAAATGATTGTGCTTTCCAACATTCAGAAAAAGGAATAATTTTGAGTTATGATAATAAGAACTAAGGTGATAAAGTAGAGAACTTTAAGTTGTGGCAATCACATCTAGGGTCTAGCAATCATATCAGTGTAAGTGCCAGTGGTGTATCATAAACAGTATATTCTAGTTAAGCGTATGTTAGTTAATGTTATAAATGGCACATATGTAAGAACACAGTATTATGTTACACTTTTATGGGTGAAGGCTCCACAGCCTATTCTAATCTTGATTGTATAATACAATGTAATACGTCCTCAATTAGTCAAAATCGTCTATAGGCCTTGCCATCTCTTTTGGAAGGATAATTTTCAAAAAAGTATGACACCAAATTTTATGTTTACCCACTGCCAAATCAAAGGTTCTCCAAAGAAAACTAAATTTTGCCAGATTTCGTAAAGCCTTTGATTTTTTGTAATGACAACATGAAAAACTTGCCAAAAAGAATATCTTACAAAAAAGAACTAGACAATATTCCCTACATTATTAAATTGTATAAATTGTCCAGCTGAGTTTTGTGTACATGTACACATGTTTTGCATAATTTAAAGAAAGAAACAATTGTTTTCAGTGATCATAATCAATTGGACTCAATGTTTTAATAAGTGATAGAATTTCTGTTAACCTTTACAGCAAATTTTGTTCCTCACTGATTTAAGTTTCAACTTGTCTTCTTTCATTGGCCATTACTGTACTTTAAAAAGAAAGAGAAGCAACAGTAAGGTAGACAATCTTTAAAAGTATGCAAAGATAATTGTAGATCTGAAATTTTCATTCATATTATCAAGGGTGTATCAATTTGCAATGTGTACTGTACACTAGATATTAGATGGACTAGTAATTAACTGCTAGTATGTATTATCTGTCACTTCCACTATGCAATTATACATGTACAATTCTACTTTTAAACTTCAGCTTGCTTGCAAGTATCTTACTTTAAAATAAGTTTAAGACATTTTATGGTGTGATTCTTTTCTGCTTCTATAATATTTGGTTGATTTTTTTTTACAGATAGCTACAGAATTTTCAAACAGAGTTTTAAAACACTTGATATATTTTACATGTAGTTTGCACTTAAAAGTTGGTTAATGCAAGGCATCAAGTATCATAAGTTTTATCTTACTGGAAAGTTATTGCTACTATATCTGGTATATTATGCTATGGAATATGTTGATCGCTGCTGAGAATATATGTAAATGAGGCTTTAATGAGGTATTCTATATATATTAACTGGTGGGTTTTGGTGCTGTGATGAGACTTATTCTCTTTAATTTGTTCTTGCAAATCAAGCTAATAAAGTGGAATAAAGGGGGAATGTGTGTATCGTGTTTTATTTTAGCACTGTTTTTGGAAGTCTTTGGAAAATTATTTATTTATGAAATAGGCCACAGCAAGTAAATTTTATGGATGACATCCTCTGCAGACCCCAAATCTAATGCGAGCGGGCGAAAAAAACAAGGCGGGCCGAAAAAAACAAGGTTCCTACATTTTAAAATCTTAACTCAATCATTGTACAAATGGTTTTGATTCAGTGGGAACATCACCGTACACAGCCAGCATCACATATCACTGCATCAAAGTAAGAAACAAAACATTTCTTGTCTCCTCTCTTCATAGTTATCTGCCATCCACCTTCCGGCATGGCAACAGACATCTGTCAGAAGGCAACAAAATTTCTTGTTTTTTTTTTCCTAAATCAGGCAAAAATTAATGCGCGCGCTGATGTCATCCATAAATATTACTTGCTGTGGCCATACTTAAAAACCCATTAAAGTAAAAAAGCTAGACGAGAGCATTATCACTGTATACATTAAATCATTTGAGGTCAAGCAAATCATTAAAAATCACCTTGGTGATGTTTGAAAATCAAAGGATTGATTTTCAAAGATGTCCAGAAGCTGTTCCAATCGATTGGTAGCCTTTCTAAAAGTGAACTGGATGGTGCTTTCATCAGGAAATGGATTGTTATGGCTTCACCAGTGGTGAAACATATTTTTTACCTCCATGAAAAATGGAGGTATTGTTTTTGGCGCGTCTGTGTGTGTGTCTGTGTTTCCGCACAATAACTTCAGAACGCCTTTATGGATTGTGATGATATTTGGTACCTTGGTAGGTCTTAGGAAGACAAAGGTCAAGGTCAAATATGGGCCTCCTGGTGACCGACCTTGGTACTGCAGCAGAACTTCCGGTTTTTTAATCTTTTGTCCTGAACATGCTATGGTCTTGATTTTTTAGTGACAGATAGCTTATCCTGTCAGGAATAAGCGGTGTAAGTTTGGTCCCCCTAGCAGCTTGTTCTGGAACTGCAGGGGAACTTCTGGCGAAATCTTTAAAAGCCAATAAGTCCAGATAGGAACAACGTATTTTCATCAATTTTGGTGTGTAGGTAGCTGAGAGAGAGTTGTACATAATTAAATGCAAATTATGCAAATGAGGGCTTAATTTGCATAATTAATGAGAAATTCTATAATTACAGTGTTTTATATAATAGTACTTTCATACGTGTAATGTATGTAACTTATGGCAGATGGAACATCAAAAGATACCAATTATGCAAATGATGACCTAATTTGCATTATAAAATGGAAAATTCTGTGACTTCTTATTGGTGAATGATGGGAATTTTATACCTTGTGACATGTGTAAGTTACTTAAAGGTTAACATCACTATGCCTACATTATGTTAATGTAGAGGGCATTTGCATAATTGATGAGGACGTGTTGAAATAAAGTATGACAAAAGAGAGGAATTTTACATTAAAAATATTGCACTTTGAATTTAGAAAACCATAAATTGAACTATATTGTGCTAATTAAGACCTTATTTCCATTGTCAATGAGACAAAAACATTTACAAAAACATTTACATATTTCATGGAGGTATGAAATCTCAGAATTTCTGTTTTACCTCATGATTCTTCTTCTGCCATTTTTTTGGCCAAATAAGGCCATGTTGATTTGATTATATGGATGACATCCTCTGGGAACCCCAAAACTGATGCGAGCGTGCGAATAAAAAAAGGTTTGGCAAAAAAAAGTGAGCTACAGCCCATTGGTAGTGTGGTGTGTTTGTTCAACCTCCATATTATTTCCCAAATGAATGCTAATAATATAAGCAGAAAATGCAGATGCAGTATTTTACCTTTTTGGTAGCGTTTTTGTTCTAAGGTCTTGATGAGACTTACAAATGACTAGATTGTGGACCCCTGATGGCTTGTTTTGGTGCTGTTGTGGAACTTCCAGTTTTTATATCTCATGATCTGGTTCTGAATCCTACAGATGACAGAAGGATTCTAACGTTGATAGTTTTCCCGCCCTTAGCGATGGCCAAGTGTGTAAGCGTGCTACACTAAGGGGCCCAGACTCATGTCACTTCTTTCCTATCCCAAGAGCTACATTTTTGTATCTACCATCCAAAATTCGTGACCCAAGCGTATCCAGATAGGAAGTTCTGCTGCAGTACCAACGAAAGCCACCAGAGGGCCCCGAATGTAATCATTTCTATGTCTTATCAAGACCTATCCACCTACCAAGTTTCATGAAAATCCATATAAAGCCTTTTGAGTTATGCTGCATGTTCACAGACAAACAGACAAACGCTACTGAAAACATAACCTTCTTGGCGAAGATAACAATAACAACAGCAACAAAATACAGCATCGTCGTTCTCAAGATATTGCTTTGATTTCAAAGAGAGTAATTTATAAAGGCACCACGCTGCTTTCAGCTGTGCCAGACGGGTTTGATTTGATTGAGTTTCGGCTTTTACTCAAACCCGTTTGATAAACTCTAAGTCTCTAACTCAAAGTCTTGTTTTGACAAGGATCTATATTCTAACCTCCTTAATTTTTCCATTTCGGCATAAAGCTAGTACATGTGATCCATAAGCTTTTTGGATAAACTCTGTTACAAGCAGAAGTCTGTTCTCCTTTTGAATGTTTTAATCTAACGTCAGTCCCGACTCCGTTCGTTCAGGTCGCATGATGCATGATACTAGTAAATGTGCCTTTAAAACAACTCTCTCTCTCT